AGTTCAGTTTGGGTGTGTTTTGCTTCCCTGTCTTCTAATTCGCTAATTCGGTCCTCCGCTTCTAGTCCACTATTGAAACTTTCAATGGTGTTTTTTATTGCAGCTATATCACTCTTCATTTCTTCTTGGTTCTTACATAATTTATTGATTTTTTTTCATCCGTTTCTTCTTGATTCTTGCATAAATTGTTGATTTTTTCCTCCATCCAATTTATGCATTCTAGGACCCTTAATCTGAATTCTTTTTCTGTCATGCTGCATGCCTCTGTTTCACTTAGCTGCTTTTCTGGCGAGTCCTCCTTTTCTTTCCTTTGGGGGTTTCTTTGTCTACCCATGTTTGATCTCGCCGACATATCTAGATGTTGAGTCAGTTAGGGGCTGCTCCTTGGGTGGCAGTGGCTTCTTGGACTGTGGTTGCTCCTCGGACATTTGCGGTAGCAGCTGCTCCTCAGTTGACAGTAGCTCCTCTGCTGGGTGCTGTTCACAACTGTGGTGGCTCCTCTGGCTGGTGGGGGGAGGCTTCACACACAGCTGTTGTTCCTCAGACAGAGGGTGTGCTGATCACGAGGGTGCTGTTCCTTGGATGGGGGCTGGCTGCACGCTGCTGTTGTTCCTCTGATGTGGTGGGCTGCTTGTGGGGCTACTGCTCCTAGGACTTGGATAGGTTGATTGCAAGTCTGCTGCTCCTCAGACGGGGGTGGGCTGCTTGCGAGGCTGCTGCTCTTTGGATGGGAGTGAGCTGCACGCGTGGCTGCTCCTCCTCAGACAGGAACGTGCCACTTACCCAGCTGGTGCTGATCAGACAGGTGCAGGCTGTTTTGGCTCTGCTCCTTGGACTGGTGTGTGCTGCATAGGGCTGCCGCTCCTCGGATGTGGGCGGTCTGCTCATGTGGCTGCTGCTCCTTGGACCGGGGTGGGCTGCTGCTGCTCCTCTAATGGGACCGGCCACTCGCAGAACTGCTGCTCCTCAGATGGGGACGGGCTGCTCACACAGCTGCTGTTCCTCGAATTGGGCAGGCTGCTCGTGCAGCTGCTGCTGCTTGGGCGAGGGCAAGATGCTTGTGCAGCTGCTGCTCCTCGGACTAGTGCAGGGTGCGGGCTCTGCACAGCTGCTGGTCCTCGGATGGGGTGGGCTGCGCAGGGCTGCTGCTCCTTAGACATAAGAAGACTGCTCGTGCGGCTGTTGTTCCTCGGACAGGTCAGACTGCTCGCATGGTTGTTGCTCCTCAGATGGGGAAGTGGACCACTCACACAGCTGCTGCTCCTTGGACAGGGGCAGGCCACATGAGGCTGCTGCTCTTAGGCTCGAGGCAGGCTGCTCACGGGGCTGATGCTCCCTGGTCAAGAGCGCACCGCTCACAAGTCTGCTGCTCACATGGTTGAAAAAATAATGTGAAAAGAAGTAGGAAATAAAGGAAGAAACAACAACAACAACAAAAAAACAAACAAAAAAGAACAAAGAAAGAAGAGGGGAAAAAAGCTAACAAAATAATA